GTTGGGATTACAAGTTTGCACTGCTGCACTTGGCTTTCTGCAGGTACTGAGTGGGCGACCTTGGGTCTTCCTGTTTCTGCTTCAAGCACTTTACCACTGAGCTGCCTCCCTAGTCCTCTAAGTTCTTCTAAAGTCAGATATATTAATCTTTAACCCTTCTTGAAAGCAAAGTTTACATCCACATATAAGTCTGAGGTCAATCACTGAACATCAGCCTGGAATAGAGGGGCCATGGCGAAAGGCACCACAGTGCACGTAAGAACGCAGACTCAAGTGCACACCGCCTGGCCTTTGCTGTGCAAGCCTGAACACAGTGCTCACCTTCTCTGTACATTGTTTTTCATCTATGAGATCAGGCTAATGGTGAGAATATAAAAGTTAATGTGTGTAAAGTATTTAGAACATCACTTGGTATAAGCAGTTATAATAAGCAATTTTTAATTTTTTTTTGAGATAGCTCAGGTTGGTCTCAAACTACCAACCTCCTGCCTCTCCCTCTGGAGTATTTGTAATTATAGGCTACTTAACTAAGGAGCACAATTTTGATCATGTTTTTCAGTTAAGATAATTCAGATACTTATAAATTAGCTAAGTTAATAAGTGAATCTCAATATGTTCATAAACATGAAGAAATACAAGCATGAAATGAAATTTGAAAATGTCCACTTTTGTCAACAAGTCATCTATGTGGAGAAAATGCATTGTATGCATTCTAATTGCTTTTGGATTGCAGGACAGAACTGTTTGACTCCCGTACCTGTGATGTAATTTCATAATCAATGGTCCTGTTTCAGATAATAAACAAATTGTATTCTAAATGGTTGAGTAACTTCTGATACAAAATCTAACTACCTAACAACTTCTAATCTGACGGTGTCAAATTGGCATAAAGGGAAGCAAAAATTTAGACAATGCATGGATACCAGAATGGTTTGCTTTGCTAAGGCTGTTATTTAGTCCTTAGGGAGAAAGCCAATAGAAAAACATTGTTCTACAGGTAAAGGGACATCTTCCAAGCATCAAACCAGGAACTAAACTTGCACATTAGCAAATGTAATGGCTTTTTAGCATGGTAAAACAATTTAGGAATTAGATACTTAGTATTCCTGATGGTTAAATAAATTTTAACATTAATTTATGTATAATCTTTAAATAGACTCTGGTAGAGAGTAAATCTGTGTATGGAAACCTATCATCTGTAAAATAAGAGTTTCAAAGCTGCTCTTCAGCATGGGGCTCTGTGAAGGAATATGCTAGCTACATGGTTATTTTCATGAATTTTTTCTAATAGAGGTATTTTCTAGGAACGGCCTTTGTTGTGCACAACAGAAACATTAAAAAAAAACTGCATTGAAATAAGGCCTTCCTGCTTTCTTATTTTATAATCTTAGTTCATTCCATTTTCAGTAGCATTTATTTAGCTTAGACTATGTAAGCTGTAATGAAAATGTCAAGAAAAAGTTAATTACTTGAGTCCAATTTGAGTAATTGGAGATAATTACTAATTTATGCATTAAAATGTAAAAATACAGATAATAAAGTAGCTTTGTTTTTGTTCTTGTAGCTTGTCTTGTAGACTGTGGGCCTTCAGCACTATAAGTTGTTGCATCTAAATACAAGTTTATATGCTACAGCTACAAGCCTGGAAGTCTACTGTCATTACTTTTTAATGCTAACTTACTAAATTAAATTTTCCTGCTTTAGAAGACTTTAATAGAGACTTTTAAAAACTTTTTTTCCAGAATTTAATTCATATTGTTTTCCAAATGACAAGAAATGTTTATATCTCTCATAAAAAACTAAAGAAAATCTTCAAGCAATAAGATTTCAAAGTGTCGTATGTATAGTCATGTCCCGTTGTCTCTTAAAATAAAAAAGAATTAACTGACAAATAAAAACTTTATGTATTGGGGGCGTAATGTGATGTTTTGATCTGTGTATACAATATAGACAGATTAAGTTAAACTAGTTGATATATTAATCATTTTACTCACTGCTCATTTTTTGTGACCATAGTGTTAATCTCTAACCTAAACTTGAAATGTGTTATTATTGCCTGAGCTCACCATGTACTACATTACTAGGGCTTATTCCTCTTGTCTCAAACTTCATATCCTTTGTTGAGTCTTGTCATCTTAAATCACTTACTTATTACTTGAAGATGAGTTGACAAGTCTTTTATTTATTGTCCTGATATTTACTTTCTTAAAACAGAATATGAATCTGAGTGCAAACTACGTACTCAGAAAAACTGAGCAATTAGAGAAAAAATAAATAATTGATTACATTGCTTTCACAAAGACCTGCTCAAGTTGCCTTATTTTTCTTAACAAAAATTCAAACTTACTTAATCATCTTTAAAGTCATGTTTATTATATTGAAGTCTTCACTTTATACATATACAACATATATTCTTAAACAATTGAATTCCTTCAGCTAGTCTGTCTGGTTGTACCGTATATACCCACTCTGTCACATGACAATTTTAATTTTTCTTTTCCCTCTCTGAATTTGACTCATGCCTTCCTATTTGGGATCTGAAAAACTACAGGCAGAGAGAAAGTAATAAACAGAATGCTATTCCATTCCATTGTCTTCAATAGAAGGGAGGTCATCTGGAAAACAATGGGATAACACATCGATCCCCCTGAGCTGAGACAAGAGTTTCATAATATGTGGGTGCAGTAATAATAATAATAATAATAGTACTCCTGGGTTCTAACGCAGCATTTTTGTCTACATTAAAGTTAAGCTCTTGATAGTTATTTTTGCATTCTTCTGTGAATTAAAATTAGACTAATATGATTAGTGTGTAAAATTGAAAATGCTACAGTTTCTAATAGAACTGAACCCAAATTATATTACTGATAGGTTTCTGTAAACTATTTTCTTTTCTATATCTTTGTCTTTTAAAGGAAAATACAGTTTCTTCCCACTGCAGAAGTATCAGATTCCTGCAGCATCCATGACACTTGTAAGCATTCAGTGGTCAGACACCACTACATATCCTTCAAATGATGTGGCCCAGTGAAGTGGGAGCCCAGGCAGCCCGGTATCTCAGCCATCTACCAGGACAGAGTCAGCAGGCCCCAGCTGGTGTGCTGATTCCAGAGTAAGGTGGGAAGTAGATTTTACGTTTTAAAAAAACTCACATTGAACCCCACGACTTACTGCTACATAACAGTTCATTGAGCGTTCCACAAATTATTTGTTAGATCCAGTTTACAAAGCTTGCCTGCCAAAATAACTCTTTGAACAAGTTAAATCTTAATTTTACTATCCCTTGGGGTTTTTAAATGTATCCTAAATTATACATTAAAAAGGATACAAAAGATAAATTCAAGAGTCTCACTATATATTCTGAGTTCTTGACTGTAGGGTATGTGCTACATGATATAGTTATAAGTCACTTAAAGGTGGTAAAATTTAACATAGCAGACTGGTAATCACCAATGATTTTTGGTGTGGTAACATTTTCCCATCACAATGAGCTTGCCATTTTGATCTTTAGACATGTTTTCACTCATAAAATAAAAACAAATTTCCTATCTTATGCTCACTTGGACCCCTGAACTCACTGCTGAAGTACAAGGGGTTTGTATGATTGTTTCTGGTACAGTCATTTTTTTTTTACACCACAACACATGAACTTATCTCCCGCAGATAGTCAGAAAGTGAACTTATAAGATTTGTTACGAGCTCCAGATTTCTCATGCCTCCTGTTGCCCTAAACTTAACTCTAGTGCTACCTAAACAACTGAAGATAACATATTACATACCTTAAAATTTCATTATCCAAGTCTGGTAGAAACATAAAGAAAAAATATCCAAACATCCAATCTCAGAAGGTTGCACCAAGGGGTCCCCCCTCCTCCAGACATCATTTTGACTGGGACCATGCCTTGGCAGATTTTCAGGCCAGGTCCTTTACTCATGTGACCCCTAGAAGTTTAGGCTGGACTCAGAAGCCTGGCAACTGGAATCACAATACTTCATCATGAAAAACAGAAGACACTTTCTCTTTTCCAAAGAGGAAGAAACCCTTGGTAGGGTTAATTTAAAAGGATTTTAAAGCTGGAGCCAGTAAAACACGATTGTCAGTTCCTACAGCCTCTTCATCTCTGCAGCATTTTTCAAAGCATCACATCTCCCTCCCTTTTGACATGAAATACTATTTGCAACACAAACAGACACATTCTAAACAACAGCAGCATCAACAGCTCCCTAACTTCCCTGTGACTCCAGCCAGGGACACAGACCAACTAACTGGAGCTGCAAAACTCTGACCCATCACTTCCTAACTCCGGTTTTCAAGACCCTCTTCTTGGAGGAGGAAATTAGCAAGTAAGTTTCACCCCCATCCCCCACCCTGAAATGGTTTGCTTGGCTCTCCTTTAAAAAGTGGAAGGAAAGGTTGTCTGCAGGATTGAAAAGTTTGCTTGGCCACAGAATCCCAACATTTCCAAGACCTACCACAATAGTGGAAACATTTTGGGAATTTCAATCCCAGAACCAACCCCCAGCTGGAGTGTGACAGACTGACTAGGAAAGTTCTCCTCTGACTGGCACTATGTAGACATTTCTCCTGGCCCAAAGCAGGCAGGTGAGCATCACAGAATCCTCCTCCTTGAGCAAGCTCACCTAGAGCTTTGGAAGGAGATGACTTACAGAGGTGTCCAAGGCTGCACTACCAATGGCCCAGGCCTTTGGCCCCATCTGCTTATCAGTTCCCACCGGAGCCTGCAGCCCTCAGTGTTTCTTGCCCTGGGAATTTGGGAACTGGACATTCCAGGGCTCAGGGATGCTGTTAGGCTAGGTCTCCACTGACCCTTCAGAGCTCTGAAATTAACTTTGCCCACACCCTCGAATTGTTTGCATAGGTTTTTCTGTATGCTGCAGTCTCCAGCCCAGCCCACCCTGTCCTCCCTTCCTCCCTACCCCTTCCCCTCCCTCCGGCCTCTGGCTCCCCCCACCCCGCCCTCCTCTTTGTCGTCTCCTACCTGCTGGCCAGGCTTTGCCTGCAGTGCTGCCTGAAGGGCATCAGGTGGTAGTTCATGGCGTCCAGCAGCAGCTTCTGGCAGACAGGGTCGGTGCGCATGAAATCCACCGACTGGACCCGCTCCACCAGCTCTGGGGCCGGGATGAGCGCGAAGCGGAGGCGCTTCATGAGGTCGGGCGCATACTGCATGCGGGTCTCGCGGTCGTGCTCCAGCCACAGCACGGACATCTGGAAAAGCGCCAGCTCCGACTCCACGGGGGGCGGCAGCGAGTCCAGCAGGGCGCGCATCTCCTCGAAGTTGAGCAACAGCACATCCTCCACCAGGTACTTGTTGGCCAGCTTCTTGGTCTCCTCCAGGCCGTGCAGCGCGGCTATCTTGCACACCTGCTTGTAGTTCTGCACCGAGATCTGGTCGTTGAGGAACTGCACGCAGAGCTTGGTGACCTGGAGGATGTGCAGGATCTTGCTGACCGACAACACCTCCTCCACCGTGTCCAGGGAGAGGGTCACGTTGGCCGTGTAGAGGTACTCGAGCACCAGGCGCAGCCCGATGGACGAGCAGCCCTGCAGCACGAGGTTGTTGATGGCTCGGGGACTGGTCAGCAGCTTGTCGTCGGGGGAGGAGGAAGGAGTCCCGGGCTCCTCCTGCGGCGGCGGCGGCTGCTGCTGTGGCGGCTGCTGCTGCGGTTGCTGCTGCTGCTGCTGCTGGTCCTTGGGGGCCCCCAGACCGTCCTGGCCGCCGACCCCTCCCCCGAGAGGGGGGTGGCTGGAGAAGAGTGATCGGAAGTACTGAGAGCAGGAGGCCAGCACGGCCTTGTGGCAGTGGAACTGTTGGCCCTGGGCGGTCAGGGTCACGTCGCAAAACAGTTGCTTTCTCCACAGCAGGTTGAGGCCGTGCAGCAGGTTGTCGCTGTGGCTGGGGTCGAAGGTGGAGGTCCTGTCCCCGGATCTGGACATGGCGAGCTGGCTGGGCGCACCTGGCTTTAAACCCTCCTCCAACCTGGCAGACAGGGGTGGGGGATGGGAGGGGGAGCAGGTGGCGGAGGGGGGTGGGGTGTGGCCGGGGTGGGGAAGGGTGTGGAGGGGAGGGCGAAGAACAGCAATCAGGCTCCGCTTGGCCCCCTCCCTCCGCACTCGCGACGGCTGGAGAGGATGGTCCGAGGGCGCCAGATCCCCCGCGCCTCCCCAGGGCCCAAGTCTGGGGTCCCGACGCCCGCTCTGCGCCTCTCACTTTCCTAAAACCACTGGGGCTCGGCTCTGGGCAGCGACAGTGGTGGCAGCAGCAACCGCGAAAGTGGAGACTGAGGCTGAGACACCTCGTGGGCTCGTGTCCATGCCGGGCCGGAGGAAGGGAAAGGCCGGGAGGGGGGAGTCGGGGGTGCCCGCAGAGCTCAGAGGCTACCGACGGCTGTGGTTCCAGCTCAACTCCAACTGGAAGCTCTACTTCCCGCGGTTGGCCCAGTTTGGGAGTGGGGTGGGGAAGGGGGTAGCACGGCGTGCGGGTGGGCGATCCTTAGCGCTCCAAAAGCCGGGCACCCCTTCGATTATCCGCGCAGCGCGGACAAACTCCTCGGCTCTTAGTCTGAGGGCGGAGATAAAGCCCTTTCTTCTCCCCGGGAAGTGCAGCGGAGCGCGATGAGGACCTGCTCAGTGGACTCGGCAGAGGCGGGAGCTGTCCTTATCAATTCTACCTCATTTCCCTCACCCCGGCCCTGCCCGCTTCCCTGCTTCGCAAACTGTTGGCTTCCCCCACCACCGCTCCGTTTTGCTAATTTTCCAGAGTCGCTTTTCAACCTGGCAGGAGATCCTGCCATCCCCTACCCCGCGCCCCCTTCTCCTTGCACCTTGGCCATCGTAGAGCAGGGAAGTTCAGACATCCATCTCCCCTTCCAGTACCCGGCGGAACAGAGGATGACTGGGGGCGGGGGTGCAGATGGGGGTGTGCGAGAAGGATTTAGAGCAAGAGCCTGGAGGCCCCGGGAGGGAGGGATTCTTGAGGACCCAACCGGTCTCCCTCCCAGGAACTAGGCGCAGTCGCTTTAACTACTAGAAGTTCAAGTTGGGAGGCAGGTATACTGGGTCTCTTGCTCCCCGCCCCGCAGGATCGCCTACAGTCACAGCACCCTGTGATCCCCGAGGTACAGCTTTCAGAGGTTTCCCCCCCACTCGGGCACCCGGACTCCCCCAGCCCCGAAACTACTTCTGTACAAAGTGAGAGCCTCCCGGAGCTAGGCGGCTGGAGGGCAGGGAGAGGGAGGCCACGCGCAATCCACATGCCCAGTCCTTAACCTGTAATTGCACCCTCCAGGGCTGAGCAGGAAGCGACCCTGTGCCTGCACCCCGCCTGCGCGCCCACCGGCCGGCTGGGGACTACTGCCGTGGCCGCCGCCGCCGCTGCCCGGGCTACGAGGGACCCGCCGGACCTGCCCCTTCCGCTGCGGCTCAGTCTGCCCTGCCTGGCGTGGCTTCAGGATCGCCGGCTTCCCTTTCCTACGCGACTAGTCTCCTCTCCACTCACTTTCCCATCCCATTCCAGGTGGACCCTCACCTCCCTCGCGTTCCCTCCCCCGGCAGCACCCCCATCCCCGCCCCCAAAGCTCAGGCTTGCGGGAACCATCTGAGTCCCCCTGGAAGTGGCCCCGGCCGTACCTCTCTCTTGCTCTCCCCGCTTCGTTGTCTCTTCACCCCCCCCATCTTTTCCTAGCCTTTTCCTTCTTGTTCTTCCCCTTTGCTTCCAGCCACCACCACCCCCAGTCTGCTTATTTCTTGCAATGGGAGTTTTATTCTAAGCTTTTGCCACACAACTTCCCCCCCCGCCCCCATAAGACTCCCTCCCCCTTCCAACAATCCAAAAGACAAGGAAAAAATACACACAAGGCAGACCCAAGGCCAGAAACTTACCTGCTGTCAGCCAGCTGCAAAGTCAGGGCTCACTTATGCTCCCCCCCAAATCAATTGTCCTTCCTTTTTAAAGCTTTGCTCTCTCCTTGGGAGGGGAATACACCTTCTGGCTCCCAACTCCAGGCAGTCACTCTTTACAATTTATTTTGTCGTACATCATTTGATCACCATGAATTAGCAACAGCAAGAAAATGTAGGAGAGGGAGAAAAGAGAGAAAGAGAGAGGGAGAGAGGAGAGAGAGGGAGAGAGAGAGGAGAGGGAGCAGAGCTTTCTGCAAGAGAAGAAGAAGAAAAAATGTACGTGTGACAAATTATGCTACCAAGAAACAACACATCATTATCCTTGGGCCTGGGGCTCAGTGAGTCGTAACGAGAGTAATAGGAAATCCACGGTTGGGGAGAGAAATGGTCGCGCTTGGCCAGTAGAGAGAGACCATACAGGGGGATGGATGCTGGAGAGACTCGCAAAATTATGGCTCAAGGCTATTGTAAAAATTGTCGAGCGTAAATGACTGCGATTTCAAACATCTTTGGAAGAAAGAAGGGGAAAAAGCGAGCCCCCCCTCCCTCCCTCTCCCTCTCTCTCCCTCTCTCTTCTCTTCTCTCTATAAAGAACCGTCAAGTTTTAGTGCGCATTGCTAATTAGTCAATTTCTCTCTGCCTTCACAGGCTGGCGACTTCGCTGCTCAGCTGAAACTGCTAATTTCTGTGACCAGCTTTTTTCTTAGCTGTGATCTGGATGAATGAGTAGCTGTCTCACAGAGATGACAAAAATAAACTCTAATCCCCCCCAAAATTTCCACTACATCTTTCTCATGCATAGATTTATGATCTTCAAGTGCTCTGTGCAATATGCAAACTTTTTTGTGTCTGTATATATGCTGTTGTTTCCAGCTTCCACTACATTGGTATGCTGGCTTGTCCCTCCCCACTAGCCCCCCCCCACTCTGAAATGCAGAAACTGTCTGATCTCAAAGTCTGCTTAGATGCTACTTTAGCTTGTCTTGGTATTTGAGGTCTGGGGCTGACTTGGAAGATGCCAGCCCTTGCCTAAGAGGACAGAAGAGGACAGAGGACAGAAACCAGGGGTGGGGAAGCAGAGCTGGCAAAATAGAGGCAGCCCTTGGTTCTCTGTGCTATTCAAGCTTTACAATCTTATTTGAAAACATATTTTTCTCTTACCATTTTTGTCTGGTTAAACAGCTGCCTTTGAAGTTCTCTGTCAGCTCCTCAGCACATAAGGGTACAGAAACCATGTTTTTGTTTTTGTTTTTTCAAATTAGAACACTGTCATATTGTCAGACTTATATTTCACTTAGGAGTCTTTGATTTGCAGGAGTCAGCATCAAGTGCCAGGAGACCCAGCTGCAATTTCACAAATGTAACCTTTTAACTTTGGAGTATACCTGATAATTAGGGGGATGCCATAAGGCTCACACTGTTGACCCTGCTTAACATGCAGAATGAATCTAGCATTCTAGAACTTCTGCTCTACTAGAGAGCCATATGCATTTGGTAGAGGGCATGTTCTCCAGACTGGTCTCATGGTGTGTGGTGCCATTATTTCAGTTGTCAGTGGGAGTTGGAAGTGTTCAAGAAAGAAAAGAAGAGGAGGAGGGGGGGGAGGAAAGAAAGGTGTGTCCTTGAATAAAGTGAATGTGAAAGAAAGCTGGACAAGAGTTCTGTTTGTTAACAAATATACAATATAGCTTGTTCTAATTTATAATTCTCTGATTAATAAAATTATTAAAAGACACCTCAAAGGCTATCTTTTTATACACTCCTATGTGAGAGATGGAAAGACACCTGCTAAAGGGAGGGGATGGGGAAACTGAAAATTTTGAGCTTTAGAAATAGGGAATTTCCCAGCTAGAATGATAACATTAACATGCAGATGGTCTATTCACTCACATAAATGAAGGAGAATGAAACCAAAGTCCTTCTCAAGCCCTCTTTCTGTCCAAGTCCTAGATTATCTAAAGCTAGGTCTTCTTTATTCAGATCTAGCCAAGGTCCTACCTTCTCATATCTGCAAAATAGGATAGCAAAATAGGAAGCTTTTTGTTGCAGTTGTTTAGGACCAGGGAAAGAAGAAACCAGGTTATTCATATTTAACCTGACTCTGTTAGGTTTTTTAATCTTTAAAGAAATCCCTTTATTTGGTTCTTGAAAAGGAAGAATGCAGGACTAGAATATAGGTCCTTTTGGGGCTTCTCTGTCATTAGCAGTTAAAGGTACCAAGCATGTGGAGTGTGACTAAATTCTCAGGCATGCAGAGGCTCTCACATTGTTTCCTGTTGGTCTTTGATGGACCCCCCTCACCCCCAGTAAGTACTTGGAACTAAGCCCAAAGATGAATAATAGTATGATTACTTAAATTATTGCCACCTTCCCATTTTATTATAAAGGAATTAAAACATATTTGTAGGCATCAAAATCTTAGTTTTGAATTTTTTTCTTTCTTAGTAATAGTATATGTAAGTCACTAATTATGATTATTAGACTCTTAATGCTTCCCGGTAATATAAAAGGCACATTTTAAGAATTTTTAGCTCTCTGTAATTTTACTTTACTTAACACCTAGGAGGAAGGGGGGGGGCTTGTCATTCTAAAATTAGTGTTGAAATGAAATGGCTTGGTCTGTTTCCTTCTTGCATTTTAAAGTTACCATATTTGATAATGCTTAAAATTTCTCAAAAAAAATTGACAACTGTGGCTATTCTGTAAACAATTAAGAAAAGAATATTGATAGGAAAAACAAGCCCTCAAAAATCTGTGTACAACAGACATGTGTATGATGTAATTCCCATACCTCTAATATCTCGCACAGGCTTTGACTGAAATTATTCTGGACTCACAAATGTGATGACACTATTTACAATAAATCCCGTTATGAAAGATTCAATTTGCAGCAATCAGACGGTAGCTACTAAGCGATTGTAAGTATTTGAATTTTATCCTACTTCACTGTTCAACGTACAGAAATTGCATCTGTGTGTTTGATCTATCCTGCTGAGCACTATCAGCAGCTTGCAACTCTGCCTCTATTGTTTTTAAAATGGCAGGAAGGACGTGACTAGTCAAGAGCGCTCAGCAGGATAGATTTCACATGGCAGAAGAGAAGCCAGAATTGTCTTTGAAAAAAAAAAAACTCATATAATCATGTAGTCATCTAATTCAAGCAGTCTTCATACTTCGACAGAATTATCAAAATTATTCATCAGTGAATCTGCATTTAAACTATGTGCAGTGGAAAGATTTTGGGACTACCACCACCGAGCAGTCTGCTGGAGCTCCTATCAGCTCTGAACAGTCTGGTCAGCCTTCAAGGTGGCAGAGATCCAGGCATATCGGTGGTTCTGGTAGCTCACAACTGTCTCCTTGGACTGGATGGACTAAGATGATCTGTAGCGCAGTTCTACGGGTGTTGGGAGGAGGGGGTTAACATGAGAGGTCTGTCAAACTGAAGCTATTTCCCTGACTCTTGACTTCTAATTCAAATTTATGAGTGATCATCAAATTGTATGAACATCAGAGTCAGGCCTCCTCTGCGTTTGTTTTAGTTAGTCAATGCTGCTTCATGTGGCCTGACCTTTAAGATTGCTGTCATTGTGGGATGCACAGATAAAGGAAGAAATGATTATTATCCCAAAGTCCTCAGCAACATGAAGCTTATTGAAGAGCATTAAAAGTAGTACTGCTATTGGCTAGCATTTAGACCAAATCCAATGGTTTATTGTTGCTTCAAGGTCATGCCTAAGTCCTTGGCCTTGACCCAGGGTGATCCAGGTTCCAGGTGTGTCCCCAGCTCTCCTGGGGACACTGTTCTCTGCTAGCTGCTTTCTGGACACTCCTGACTCACACTAGAGCATTTGCTGGGAGGTTTTGTACTTAGAAGAGAACTTGGGTCTCTACACATAAACCCTCACCTATCTCTCTCAATTTAAGTTCAGCTTTTTTTCCACTATGAAGCTTTTGAAGGCAGCTTCAAGCAATAGCAAGTACTATAGCTTGATGACCTTACGGTCTGCATGGTGGGTGCCACTGCAAGTCTTTTAGATGCTTTATTTTCTCAGGCCTCTTGGTGATCCTAAGAAAGATTTGGGTAGATGGCAAAAGTAAGTAGGACTCTCCACCTTTTCAGGATGCAGTTCACAGTATGTGACCTTGCTACATTTTCCATTAGGAGTGAATCTATTTCCCTACTCTTTGAATGTGAGCCGGCTTTGTTATTTGCTTAGACCAACAGAATATCCCAGAAGTGACTCTGTGCTAAATTTAACCTAGGCCTCAAGAGACATTGTATGTTTCTAAGTCCACTAGCCCAACTCTTTGACTCTTGACAGCTGACACATGAAAAAGTCCAGCGTAGCTTGGTGGAAGGTAAGCCCCTGTAAGGGCCAGACGTTTTCCAGCTCAGCTGGTAACTGAATTCAGGTACACAATGATCTCAGGCAAGAGACCAGACCTTGGGTACTCTGGATTGTTTATTCACAGAATTCTCAGCTAAATATATGGCTGCTGTTGTAAGCCATTAGTATAAGGGGTGATTTGTTTTATAGTAAAATTAACTGATGATGAAAAATGCCATTATCAGTTTAATGATGATAAAATCAAAGATGGAGAAAGATACAATTTTGAGAACCACGTATTTTCAAAGGTAAAATTGAGATTCAAACAGATACATCCTGACTTGATAGAGTAACTAGTCTTCTACACTGGACACTGCCTCCCATGACCATTCATTCATTCATTCATTCATCCATCCATTATCAATAAATGTGTTGAGAATTTATTATATACCAAATAACATACCAGTTATCGAAGACAGAAGGATGAATAAAATTGATCCTTGCTCTCAAAGGGCTAACATTTTATGGAGAAGACAGACAGGTAAGTTTGATACAGCAGATGAATGAATAATTACAATTAATAATTGCTCTAATAATGGCACATATAATGACCTGGGGTAACTTATTTATTTATTTATTTATTTATTTATTGTCTGAGTGTATTGCCTACATATGTGTAAGTGCACCAGTGTCATGCAATGGCCACAGAGGTCAGAACTGGAAATGGAACTGGAGTTACTGATGGTGTAGCTGTCATGTGGGTGCTGGAAATTGAACCCAGGTCCTCTGCAAGAGCAGCCAGTGCTCTTAACAGCTGAGCCATCTCTCTAGCCCCAGGGTAACTTCTTAGTGCTTATTATCTGGGATATCTTTTGATACTCAATAGCTATGGATGTGATAGTTACTTGTTAAGGGAAATTTATTTTACCATTATAAATAAACTACAATCAATTTTGCATGGGAGAAAGCATTGTGATTGGCAAAAATCTCCCATACTGCATAGCTCTGCATCATGTTCAAAGTAG